AAATTACTGAAAAATGGGGATAGTGGTGACCCCATAGCCATTCCAAAATTTTGTTGATAAAAATTGTCATTGTATTGAAAGTAAGTTGACTTTATCACTATTATTATTAATTTTATCACCTCATATTTAGTGCAATTATTGCAGTTTAACATCCATTAAGTATGTTTTTTAATTATATGCTACTTGCCTCTTTCTAAGCGAAAAAGTGAGATATTGAAACTGAAAAAGAGCAACTAAATCAGTCGATTTAAACTGAAAACCGAACAGTCCTGTTCACAATCGTGCGTCTAAAAAACGAACGAAATACAGCACTAGACGCTCTGTTTTTTCCTGCTAGTACTAGCAGGAAAAAAGAATCTCGTATTCTTAAAGGCCTTAAATGCGCAAGGAATTGCAGTTGTCTTGAAAATCAGTCCCACTTTTTGAAATTGGCCGTTATTTAAAAAATCTGATCCTGGACATCATTTTAAATCGTTCATATTAGAAGAATATTTCATTTTTTTCAGGCCGAACGACTGGCAGATTATGGCAGACTTCTGGGCAGATCGCAGCCAGCTTTAAATGGACGACAAAGGGATTTAGACAGGATTCAGGATCTGTTTCCTCACGACTATCTTGGGTTGCATATTCCGGAACCCAATTCCACCTACACCATTGTAAGTGAACCTTAACCGTCGCTGTAGCATTAGTGATTAGAACCGCAAATCAAATTTATATCGTACCTGCAAATCGCTATAAAATGGAGTTCCGGAAGGCTGAGCTAAAATGTAAACTTTGTTGCTGCAGTACTTGAACGCTAATCGAAATCATCTAATGAAATTCCACTCAGAGAGACAATAACATAAGTTAGAACAATAAACGGGCTATTTAACATACCATAATGGTCGATTCATATGTAAATCGGGCGCGGCACGATCCTCCGAGTCTCATCCGCGCCCCAACTGTCTAGTTCTATAGGAAATCAGTCCGTTAATTTATTCCGAATCTATTAAATAATTACCGAATTAACATTAACGTTAGGCTAAAATCAGTTTCCTTATTGTCTGCCATGCCTACGACCGGATTGATCCATATCATGTGGGTTCAGGCAAATCATCCTCAATTTTTTATTTCACTGTTTCTAGTTCCTTTCCCACGACTATGCAAAAAATGCGGAACGTTTCTGAATTCCGATACTTTTTCTTTGGTTTTTCGCGTTTTGAAGTTACATTGACTGACCGAAATTGATCAAAAATGCGTTCCAACAAAATCGGTATTTGTAAACAGTTCGCAAACGGTCCGCAGATAAATGCCCAGATTGATTTGTAACAGTTTGCAAACCTTCAGAAATTTCTTGTTGGAACGAACCTATCATGATGCAAGATTATGTCACTTGTGCAACCAGTTGCAAGAGATACGAGATAAATACGTGCATTGTTTCCACTCAAGCGAACAGGATACCGCGAAATAGTAAAGACATTAATAAAGGCTGGAAGATGGGTAGAATGCTTTGGGTCTTCATAGTCAGTTTTATATTAATATTTAAAAAAAAAAAAAACATTTTGTGCCTTTCAATAGAAGTAAGCGGTTCAATCTTGAATCCAAGTAGTCCATAGATTGCAGAAAGTCTGGAAAAACCTCAATATTCTCTTGAAACTCCAAATGTAGATTCCGTAGTTACTGCTATTCGCTAGTTCGACTACCGGTGGTGGCGCTGCGAAACGTCAAATTACTCGTTGTCAAGTGACAGTTCAGACTTGTTTATTTATTGGAGTTGATGACGTTTATAACATAAAACAATACTTACACCTTTTTCGATATGTTCCTATTTCTTTAGAGGCTTGTAAAATTTGATTAGAACAAAACAAATTACAATCAGATGTAAACATCAATGTCAACAAGGGTTAAATTACTACTATAACTTTTAGTTATAATTTTAGCCATCAGGAGGCGACTGACTTCAGTCCCACTTGACAGAAAACGTCAGAAGTCCCCATTTTGAAAAGTCGCGATTTCTTTGGTAAAATCACAGTCGGAAACGGGAAAATCACACTAAACTGTGAAGAAAACGTTCCTTTTTGAGAAATTGTTCAATTTTTCGCGCAAAAATTAAAAAATCCGGAGATTTTTCAAAAACTGAACGGAGCAAAGAACACACCGTCTCTCCGATCCATCGACTAAATTGACATGACAGGAAATATGACGGGTTTTGAAAACTTGGTTAGAAGAACGACTGGATTGAAAACATTTTTGCTGAAAATGAGCTAAATCAATAATTAATACCGACAGCCAAATTCGGCTAATTTATAGTTTTGTTTTATAATAAATAGTGCCGTTTAAACCAGAAAGAAATATGTTGAAATCAAGCCGACAATTCACGCAGTATAAAATAAAAATAACAATCTTCTACCCAGCATTGTGGTAATAATCCATATAACATAAATAAAGGCGAATAGATCACATATCTGGCGAATCGAAAAGGAGCGGACGCAAAATACGGCTCTGTGCTAGCGCTGAAGAGCATTTACATAAACCATGTGAAGACATTCTTCGAACGTTTGTCAGTAGTTAGAGATTAATAGGAGCGATTAGCTGATTTATTCATTGTTGCCTTTTACTGTTTCTACATTAAGAGCCTTTTAACGTGACCAATCGCGGTTTGGTCATTCTGGACATTTATCGATATTGATAGGGCCGCAGGATGGGCATTCTTTTGACGACTTTCAAATTCAAATAGAGCTGCTAATGCAGCCTGTATCAAAACGACATTATTTTAATGTTGTTAAGCACCGAAAATATTCTGGGCTCTATCAGCCTCCACATATTTTACCAAGATAGTCCATGTCGTTGTTAACATTCTCGTTTCAATAATTGGAATTAATATATTTCTTTTGTTTTCAGAAGAGCAAGTTGTTTCGGAAAAAGTCTCTAAACGACTTGACGATGATGGAAAACAGTCCGCCTTGCAACAGACTGTTTCTGATGGAGGCTCCCTGTGCCATGTCGCCTGCTCAGATGTCGATGAACGTGAAACCGAGGCATTTGTTTCTGTTTTCCGATCTATTATTGATCGCCAAACCGAGATCGATGGGAAATTTCAAGCTAAAGGTAAAACCCTTTAATGAAACCATAACATCGAAAACCCAAAATACGTCCTGATTGTATAAACTGACTCATCCAGTAGAGAATGTAAACATTTTACGCAAAATCCAGTTTAAACCCCCTTAAAAGGATTTTTTTAATTTTTAGGAAAGTATCCGAGTCTCAGAAATGTGGATCGCCCGATGTGAGGAATCAGAAACCGGTTTCCTGCTTGGTTGGCCGTCGCCAGCCCGAACCTATTTAGTTACCTTCTGCACTCAGGCCGCGCGAGACTCTTGGTGGAGGGAGCTGAGGAAAGCGCTGTCCGCTCAGCTCCGACTAGAGCCTCCAATCACCAACATCAAAGTAATTTTCCGTCAGAAAAACGCTCTAAACATCGTCACTTACTGTCGTTATTGCAGGTGGTTTACAGAGATCCAGCTAGCGGAGCTGAATGCTCAAAAACCTTGGGAGTGGGACCGGAAACAACGTCCACAGATGTGGCCAGACTAGCATTAGACGAATCTAGAACTTGTGATACCTCGTTTACACTCTACACGAGAGACCGCGACAATACACCTTGCCCCTTAATCGGTACGTTTCGAGCATATTGAATTTACCCTGATTTGGCGATGAAGACTTTTTTACACGGTAAACCTGTAATTTAAATTTAGGCTATGAGAGACCGCATTCGATTCAACTGGCCCGACTGAGACAGTCTCTATGCGCTGAGGAAGGCTTTGATTTGACGCATTGCAATAAGAGTCGGATACCTTGTGATATAGTGTTCGAGCTCAGACCCACAGTCGACAAGTTGCGAGTCAAAAAGTAAGTAAAGGTCGGGATTGGCTGTTGTTCAAATAGCTATGCGACTTTGGCGCATTCTCAAAAGCTAAACGCTTAAATTGCTGCCTTTTGTAGGACGCCGCTCAAGATCTTCAGGAAGTCCAGCACGGGCCGAGTGTTTGGCGTGGCTCTATCCAGGCTTTGCCCCAACAACACGCTGCCTCCCGTTATTTCCACCTGCTTGAAAACGTTGTTTCAGCAGGGCCCTCAAACGCAAGGCATCTTTAGGCGATGCGCCTCGGCCAGGGCGCTGAGGGAACTGAAGGAAAAAGTAGATTCTCAAGGCAAGTCGTTTTATCACCTTGAATTAACTCCAGTGAAAAATCATAGAACGGGTTTATGACGGCAGGAAAACGCGCGTTTGTAAATGACTGGTATTAACAAATGTCTTGAAATCGTACAATCTATATGAGAAAAGCGCCTGATTGTAAAGAAAGGAAAGTTCACTTGGAAAAACTGGAAATTTCAGGCAAAAAATGAACATCAGCTGACAATCATAGTGTTAAATGTGCAAACACCCTGATCGAGTGTTTCTAATTGAATTCAATTGCCTACTTTGCTCATCAAATGTTTCTGTTTGCAGGCGTTACAGTTTGTGATGAAATCTCCCGAACACCCGCCCTATTGCTGGGTGCGCTTCTCAAAGACTTTCTGAGAAGTCTGCCCGAACCGTTGCTGGCTGGTAACGCCCAAGAATGGCTCAGCGCCGCTACAAGCGGAAGATTGGATCTGCTGAGACGCCTGCTCAGCAATTTGCCGCGAGAAAACCACATGCTACTTCGCTACGTTGTTTGTGTGCTAAACAATATCGCTCAGAAATCCAGATTCAACCTGATGTCTGCGGCTAATCTAGGTAGCAATCAACCTGAGGCTTGACTGGCGGGCGCTATACATTTACTGTTAAATTGCAGGCGTTTGTGTGGGACCGAGCATGTTATGGGAATCGGCGCAAAACGCTCCGCTCAGAACGCTTCCGACGCTGATCGAGACGCTAATCAGCAATTGTCAGGCCTTGTTTGGATCGCAAGTTGTTTCACTGCTGGGTGAAGTTGCTAATGACAGTGGAGCTGAAGAGTCTGACAGCTTACATTGTAAGGACATCGATTGCCAGCTAACAATGAGTAACGCAAACTAACAAATGCTTGTTTCAGCCTTAGGTCTATCATTGGACTCAGTGGAATTGAGCAAAGATCAGAAATCCCTCAGTCGCGATTCGGGTTTGACTCTGTCGGAAGACGACCGAGAGAGCCCAGGCCTTAACTATCACACGGCCACTTTCCACCGCTCTGATTGGGCGAGACAGGCAGCCAGAATACGATCAATGGACAATTCCACCTCTTGGGTCGAAGAGGATGAAGCGTTTTGTGCCTCAAACGAAAGGTAAGCTAAAGTTGACTAAATATTGACTGAAATTAAGCTAAAAATGTGTGTTTTTTTTAGTTTATGTTCGCCCCCTATACCGCCTAGACGACCTCCACCCTTAAGACATCTACCTCCGGTTCACATACCGCCCATCTACAGACCGCCACCGCCGCCACCACCCACATACGCTACAGCCCGATTATTATTAGTTACAGATGCGGAAAGTGAAAGCTACGTATGAATAGCACGTAAAACTTAAGGTGAGTGATTGGTCGAAAAACGAACGATTCTATTGGGTTTGAGGAACTTGCTTAGACTCGTGAAATCACATTCAACTCACTTTATGTGATTGGATGTTTTTTCCCAACTGAAAAATCTAACCAAAACGTTCATTCACTAATTCATGGAATGGTAAAATTGTCTGTTTATTTATTTAATTTTTTTACTAATTTGTTCGAAAATCCTTCTAAGGTGGCCAAAATATAATTAATTAGTGTACAATTAGTAAATAAAGCAATCTATATTGTTTTAAAGTTGTTGGCCATATCAAGATATAAAAAGGAAATATTCTATTGTTGTTACAAACTGTATTTGATGTAAATAGGCTCTCTAGAGATAAATGATTTCGACTATAAGTTTTCACATTGGCTTTTATAAAGCCATTATTTCACGTAATATTATTGTGTCGTACGTCTTCCTTTTTATGGACTGTTAAATGAAGAAAAAATGTCCTATTAACAGTGCTAATGCCGTTCTCAAAGCCATGTGATGTGATCTACTTCACCGTTCTATTGAAAAATGATGAATATTGGCTTTAGTGGTCCTTAAACAAAGAACGTTTACCATTACCCGTTCTCACTTGTCATGTTTGTATTGTAAAATTTCTTCATTAGCATGAGTATGAGGATATAGCGAACTACAGGAAAAGGTACTTGGATTAATTGGATTGTTATTTAAAGTAACTGTACTTTTTTTTGTAAATTTGTTTGTATGTAGAAATGTTTAACGTGTAAGATCAAATAATGTATTAGACATTAACTAATAGGTATTAATGAACGTTTGCCATGTTTTCGTTAGTTGATAAGGACTATTTTCTATTGATGTATGTATAGACTCTACAGCCCTTTTTCTAAATGACTATAAGAATATATTGAAGATTTAAACACCTGGGTTTTTTGTCCTGAAAAACGATCCTTTTCTGAATGAAAGCCTGCATGAATGATTGGTTTTTTGTTGGAAACCGATAAATCACAACACTTAAATGTAAAGACATCTATTTCCTAAGTCGTTATTGCTTACACGCGAGTTACAAAAGTTCAACCATACATACTATATTCGTAAAACAAATAGATCATGGAAAATAATACTGGAAATACATATTAATAATACTACAGCTCAGTTACAGATCAACTATATCCACCATAAGATCTAACCATACGATTTATGAAATAATTTAAATCAGGCGGGCTAAAAGTATATTGAAGCGCTTTGGACACGCAAGTAGCACTAGAGGAATTAAGTCGGGAATAAAATAAATAGACTTAAAATAATACAATTCGGTCAATAATAATAAGTGGGCCTGACAGGTGTGAAAAAAAACGTAAAAATACACCTTCCAATACCGGGTTTATTTTGCAAACTGTCGAATAAAACAAAACCCAGCATTATGAAACGAAATGAACTGGTTCTATCCAGCTTGGAATTTCTACAGACACTGAAATATCACAATTATTATGAGAAAAATGGCAAATGCATAGCTGGAGTTAAACAGAACAAGACCTATTCAATGTTGGCTTTGGCAACAAATGAAGTTAGGGACGAAATTTCATTGGGAGTTGCTGTGGTGTCGCTAGACAAACGACTGAATTCAACTTCTTCGCTCAGTGGCTCAGACGGCCACTGTTTGTGGCTGGGAGCATACAACATTAATAGGGCGCAAATGTAGACGTTCCACATCCCGTAAACCCCCGTATGTATAACAGACGTCCACTCAATGTCCATCGAATCGTCCCACTTGTGCTCACCTTGAGTGTACTGGTTGAAAATAAACGAAACCACTGTAATACCAGCGCAAACTAAAGTCGCCGCCATCAGGAAAGTGAATCGGTACATGATTCCCTCGTAATGTAAACGTCTGGCTTGAGTCATGCTGGGTAGGATTGATTTTTTAACGCTGATATTCTTGAAAACCCTCCAAATCATGTAGCATAAAAATATGAAGTAAACTCCGACAGAAAGACCCGCGCAAATAACAAAGGTCAGAGCTAAGTTGGTGCCGATCGGAGTGACCCAAATGGAATGGAATGGATTGACCAAATGAATGCCTCTTTCGCACAAATCGAAAACCAGTAGAGACACACAGCCAATCACTATAGAACTCAGATGTTTCCAGTATTTCTTGAGACTATTTCTATCACCGGACTCCTGAATAAGCATGTGCTCGCCAGTGAAAACCAGCCAAAACGATAAAAGCATTGCATAGAAAACGCCTTGCCTAATATCAGTCAGCAACAGCATATAAGGCATATCAAAGAACAGAGTGAAATATTCCACAGGAAAATTGAGAAAAACCAGCGCGCTGCCAAGATAAATCAACATGTATTCGAGTAGAGCTGGAGTTCGCGCCAATAAATGTACGCGATTCCAAAACCAGATCATAACTCCGATTATTAGAGGGAAAAACACAGTTTTCATGCTGACCCACACTTTTGTAAAGCCACCATTCATGTGAATGATGTGCAGATAAATATCATCCACTTTGCCCAAATGTGTATTCAGGTTCAGCCGTTCATCGTAAATAATTCTTAAATTAAGCAGATAATAATCGTGGTAAAGTGACCCTAGTTCGAACAGAGGCACCATTGTACAGCTGTACGGGTATCCCACTTTATCCTTCATATTGTGGTGCTCGTCAAAATGGCAATCCATGTATCTTCAGAATACAAAAGGCACTTAGTTGATAACAAAAAACATCAGAAAAGCAACGTACCTTTTCGCCTTAGAATGCTTGTAATAAGTCCAGGGAGTTTGACCACCGTCTGCCAGTTTGTCGCTATACGCCAGTCTTGCGTCTAATGTAAGTTCAATCATGGTATTTATCAACTTTCCGCCTTCTGTATAAACTACATCGAACTGAAGAACACCGGCCAAGTTTTGTTGCCAGCGCGAAAAGTCGTTCATGTGTTGGGGCATTTCCATAGCAAATACCTACGCAAAATATTACATAGTTATATCACCAAATGTGGATACTTTCGAAAATAAATTTGGGGGTATTATAACAAGATTATAGACAAAGACAAGAATTAACACGCATTGAAAGGTCTTCAAGTCCCTAATGCTAACTCTGAACTGAAACTGAAGACGAATTAGAAATGTATTTACACACTATTATTTTACTAGGTTCATATTAGTTAGGATTTTAACGTTTATAAAACGTTTGTGCAAAACTATTGTCTCTGTCCCACAATACCATTTGCTAATGAAAGTTGCTCTCACCAAATTATTAGACTTCAGTTGTTCAGTGGCTGCAACATTGCTCAGTTCTATCCTATGAGGGCATGTCCTGGCAAACCAGCGATCCATCGAATCGGCTGATGGGTTTTTATCCACGCAAACGGTAGCAAGGATGGGTTGGGAGCTTGCTGGGCTGGGCGAAATCAGCCCGACTAGAAAGCATGCTAGTTGGCTGAGCAGCAAAACAGTCACTAAAACGCTCAGCTTCCTGCCGCTGAGATTCTCCAACACGGTGCCCGGCATTTCGTTCCGAAAAAACTGCTTAAATTCGATTTATTTCACTATATGCCACGCAAAATGCAACAGACGCCGACATTTGACAATAAAAACAAACAAACAAAACATAGAGGTTTTGGATGCTAGCGCATATAAGCCAACCTGACTCGTTGGTTAAATAACATGCGCAAGTGAGTTTGAGGTTAGGTTAGCACTTATTTTATTGTTTTTGGCAAACGATTCGTGTTTTGTGGATTTTCAGGGGCTAGAAGCAGTCCAAATAATTTATTTTTTATTGTTTATTGCATTATTAGAAGATAGCATTTAAAARCGTTGCGTGTGATCTTGGCCAAACCATTTAGATCAAATTCATTCAATCATACGGATGTTTACGTAGAGACAGCGAAGCAGAAGGGCGTGTGCTGTACGCGCGGCATTTTCAAATTGAAAAAAGCGCTGTAAACATTTATTCGTTACGAGTAATATTCGAGTTTTCGAAAATAATATATATAATAATAATAACTCTTTACCGTTACCCGTTTGGGTAAATAGAAGTTTGTTTTTCTGGCGCGCGTTGAACCACCATGCGTTTCGTTCCGGGCCTCGTCAGTAAGGCTTAGGTAGGCCCTGCCTTAGACGCCGGAGACGGAAAACAGGTTGGAAGTTCTATTTGAAGCGAAACGCCACAGATATTATGCGGTGAGATATAGCTGGCGTTTCGGTTGGAGCTACTAGTTGAGAAGTGGCGGATAGAGTTCGCCACATTTTGATTAACTTAACCTCAAACTTGATTGCGCATGTCATTTAAATAACGAGTCAAGTTGGCATATATGCGCTAGTGTTTTGGATACTGATCTGTCAATACAGCCACTGTTGAACAAATAATTCAAAGTTTGTTGCATTCAATATGGCCGTTGACAACTATCTCAATTTTTATAGAAATTTCGGTCGTAATACACGGCTTTTCTATTTGCTCCAGTTAAGTTTTGAATCTGCTTGCTATCGCAAAAAATTAAATTAATTGAAAACAGTCACGCTTTCCTTCGGTAAACTGACGTCACTCACAACCGCCCCTAAGCTCACTAGAATCAAGTTTGAGCAAAATTATCAATATTTTGAAAAGTGCGGCCAGTCTAACCCACAAAATAACCCACCCGGGATGTGTTCTGTGGTCTAACCCACAGAGTCTAACCTTCTTGACTGGATAGTTAAAAGTTTAAAAAATTAATCGGACAAATTACAGTTTGCAATCACAATTACTCACTTAATTGGGTAAAACTGTTGTAATGAGAATTGAATGATAGAATATGGGGGTACGTGTGTGGTGTTTTTCCTTTGGCTTGTGTTGTTTGTTTTTACTAACTAAACAGTGTCCAAGAAAATACCCTTTTGAGCATTATTTAGCTGTGCGGACACCATACAGATTCGTTTCAAACAGCAGCCTACATAAGGTCAATTATGAAGGTAATTATATATTATATTTACAATTATAAAAGCAGCTCCTTTGATGTCTTCAACATTTCTTAACTGAAAATACTGAGTTTGAAACCTATGCCCTTTAATATGAGACTATACAACTTACTTTCGACCTGTCTACACTATGGACTTTCAAGTTTCAAGTCGATTTACGAATCATAATCGTGATAAGTTTTTTAAAAAATCGGCGACCGCAACATTAGTACTTAATGGAATTGAAAGCCTCATTATGACAATTTTAAGCCCTCTTTCCCTTTAGGATGTATTCCCAAGAAAGTGTGGATGTTAGTCAGACATGGAACGCGGAACCCAAGCAAATCGAATTTGGAACCAATCAACAGCCGATTGCCAATAATAAAAAATAATGTTTTGAATAGTAAAAAAGTCCCTAACGGTAAGCGTAACAGCAGTTAAGCAAGGTTTTTGCACATTTTACATTTTGCAGACTTTATCAAAAACCGTGATCTTGATTTGTTCAAAAAATGGAAGTGGACCGTAAAACTAGAGGACGAAAAAAAATTAACTCATGAAGGCGAAGATGAAATGCTGCTTATGGCCGAAAGAATGCAAAGTCGCTTTCCTGAAGTATTCGAAAATGTTTATAGTAACACAACGTATAAGGTATTATCTACATCTAGCTCATTTTCAACTAAATGGCCTTAATTTCTTTAGTTCAAGTACACTTTTTCGCAACGAACCAAGAAAAGTGCCTTTTATTTTGCGGCGGGATTGTTTGGCAAAAAAACAGCCAAAGATGTCTGGTTTCCAGACCCGATAAAAGCCGACCCAATTTTGAGAGTAGGTCCTACATTTGCTTTAAACGCTTTGCAACCACATTAAAGGCCTTTGTAGTTTTACAAGCTTTGTAAGAAATGGAAGGAAACGGTTAAGGCTCCCGTACACGAAAATGGGGAGCATAAAAAGTTCCAAGAGTCACCTACTATGGCTAAAGTGGCTAGCGAGGTTACTGAACGACTGGGACTCACAACTAAATTAAACGTCTGTGAGTACACTTAATGATTGAATATGAAGCAATCTGTAAAATATTTGAGCAAATCATACACTAAGAGTACCTACTCATGTGCTTATAGCTGACATATACACAATGTACATAACTTGCGGCTTTGAGACTGCTTGGAATAAGCGACCCAAATCCCCGTGGTGTTCGCCATTTACCGAAGAAAACTTGAAGGTAGTAGACTAGTAGAAATCCTGTTATGACTATCACCCAATCAATCTATTGCTATTTCAGGCTCTAGAATATATAGATGATTTAAAACATTACTGGCAGGATGGATATGGTTATCAATTGACTTACCAACAAGCCTGTCCGGCTTTCGGAGATCTCATCAATTACTTTAATGCGTAAGACTTTTTCAAAGTCTTGAGTTTTATTTAAAAAATTACAATTGCAGAGAAGCAGCATTCCCCAAAGTGACGGTTTACTTTACACATTCTGGAACCTTGCTAAAAATGCTGGCTCATATGGGTTTATATCGGGACCAAAACCACTTAACTGCCTCAGAGTTTGGAAACATGGCGAATAGGAAATGGAAGACCGGTCTCATTGACTCTTTTGGCACAAATTTGGCTTTTATACTTTATGAGTAAGTTTAAAATCGATTTAACAAGCTAAGATATGCAGTTGGCGTTTTGATTTAGGTGCGATGGGGTGAAAAAAGTACTGACTATGCACCAGGAAAACATCATTAAGCTTCCGTGCTGTCCAGAGTCAGACCTGTGCGAGTATGAAAAAATTTATGATTTCTATAGTGAAAGTATTGAAAGTTGCGACTTTGATGCAATGTGTGATGAATCACATAGTGATAGTGATAGTGATTAGAAAATTACTTTAATTTTCATTAAAACACGAATATTAACAGATTCACAAAACAGTTACTACGTTTTACAAAACAAATATTTTGCCAATTACGGCGTGAAATAAATTATTGTTACGATTCAGGTTGTCTTTTTCAAAATGCAAATTCCGTCCAGAGTTGGGGAAAATTGTGCGAATTGATCAGTGGCTAGTTCAGCTCTATCAGTCGTCGCTAACAGTACTGGTGTTGTATGCGTATGAAAACCTGCTATAGTTTTGGGGGTACCTGCAAAGTCTTGGTCTTATTTAACGGTAACTTCAACGACCCTGCAATCTCAATCACCTGCTTTCCCAATAACATCCACAGCTTGTCCCACTCGAACAGTCGTAGAAACCACATCTAAATTCTCATCTATAGTCAAAAGCCATCTTGGCTGAATGGACAACGAAAGACAATAAAGCAGATAATGGGATTTGCGTAGTATCAATTCATGCGGCTCTAGCAAACTAAATGCAGTTATCAAAAGACCTAAAAGAAGACTACTTACGGCTAACTAAAGTGTAATTTTCAAATGATATTGATGCGATATTGTAACTAGTTACCGCGGACCCAGAAAATCTTATATCAAAACTAAATATGAAATTTAATCTATCGCATAAAAAAATTCAAATTAAACACCAGATAAAGCCTATGGATGTGCACCATCCTGCATATTACTTATACATTACCCGCCATTCCAACAGGATCCAGTAGCGTTCTATCTGTATGCAATGGGTTTAAGGTGACGGTGCCTTTTCCCATATGCACCATTCCTTGTGCTATTCTCACCATGAACAGTTGAGATGGGTTCCTCGTATGGTAAACTGCTAATTGCCGTAAACCAGCTGCTAACCGAGCATTATTAGTGCCAGCTCCAATAAGTCCTGAAGTTGGTAGGCATTAAAAAATAGAATTGAAAGTATTTAACTACTAAAACCTATTCCAAAAATTGAATTGCACGCCACTTCAGAGTCATAATCGTGCGAGTACTTTGTCAGAACATCTAAAACCGGTAAATGAGGATTGGAAACTGATGAAAGCGCTATAGCTAGAGGAACGGCTTTTCTTATAGATGGCTCTCCATATCGGCCCATATGACCGAAGATTCTCTGAACCATCTCCATGCCTATTACCAGCATGAAGTTAACTTTATAGATGCATTTTTACAGTTTCTGCTGTTACCAATGTCCTCCCCAAATGATACAGTAGCCACGCCTAACGCCGCTATTGCTTGACTCATCGTCCAGTCCCAGTCCGGTTTCTTCGCTTTGTTCGTCCCCTCCTTCGGCTTTCGCAATGTTTCAATGAGCTCGCCATTTTCTGACATTTCAACCTTTTCGCCGAGCGTCGCTAGGAGTTCTTGGATTATCAAAACGTTCCCTGTTCCCGCGTATGAGCACATATACAGCATGGTTTCCATGGCGCTTTTGAACGGCTCAGGAAAACTCTAGATTGAATTTTATCTTGAAGAAAACAAGCTTGTCAAGAAGTTGAAACTTTTACCTCGCTGGCCAACAATGGAACATCAATATCATTCCTGGCGCCGAAATAACACAAAGCCACTCCCAGCCCCATGAGGCGCATGTAGATGGATTTCATGGTATCTGGGTTTTGTGAGTTCAATTCGATCATTGCATTTAATATAGTAGATGGGACTTCAGTCCCTTTTTTGCCTAGAGTGATCAGGCCGCAGGCAATGCTGCTAATTGCTAATATCTGGGGCGTTTTCGAAGAGCTGAATATTGGCAGGATATGGCTGATCACATCGCTTCTTTGGCTCCCTAACGTAGTAAGTGCTCTATTTTTATATGAAATATATATATGAAAGCCATACCTGCATAAGCTATTCCTAATCCCAACATAGCGCCAATGCTCACGATTTCGTCAGAACTATTTAAGTACTCTCCTAGAAGCGCAAGAGCGGGATCACAGTCATTCCTCACTCTACAGTTCACAATTCCTAGAGCTAAAAGAGCACCGGATGTTATAAACAAATCATTAGCGTACAGGTATTTGTCTAAAGGAGTTAAGCCGCCATCCACATCCCATAGATAGATCAGACCATACGATGCGGTAGCACTAAGCTTTGCGTGGTCTGAAAACCAAACAAATAATCGTTTGCACCTCGATATGACCAGTGTTTCATACCTTTGTTTCGATAAATCCAATCATTGCCTGTTTTACTAGACAACAGTTTGTCGCATCCAAATCCTGCATTTACAAATCCGTTCACAAAGGATGACGCCAGATTTTGTCGGGCACTGTCGAGGTTTTCGCCTAAAATTGCCGTGAACCTTCGAGGCACCGGTTCAAGCCAGATTTTGTAGACATCTTCAGGAAGTTTGGCTTCCATAACACCCAGCTAAGTTAAGCACAAGAATCCGTTAATTAAAACATTCACTATTTTTTATGTATTTTGGTGGTCGGTACCTCTCTGCCTAGCGCCAGGAAATAGAAATTCAGCCAGCCGTTGCCGAGGACATGATTAAGTTGTAGATAGATGTCGATATTTTCATCAAGCTCCAACGGAAATAAATGCCTCGCGCAAATAAACGCCAGCTGATAACGAATAACCCTGGAAAATAAAGTTTTTGTACCCGAACGGGTGGAAAATCAGATTTATACTAACTTGTCGCTGCATTTTGAAAAGACGTCTTTTACAAGTTGCTCATTTGATAGCAGTATGGCCACCACAAGTGCTTTGGAGTATTCTCCAAATTTTAAATATTGCCCATAGACCACCTTCATGATTGTCTGTCTATCGGCATCGTCCACGTATTTTGCACAGGAAAACAAATAAAAACACATCCTAGAATTGTTCATTTCAGTTAAATATTTGACCTGACTCCGAAACGTTATCAAATATCTAATACCTAAAAACATAGCAGCCAAAATGTGTAACTTTCGCGCGTTCTCAAAGGTTAAAACGGATAAATATCTCCGAAACGATTGGAAAGATCCAGACAGACGTTAAGTCCTTTTTGGGGTAAGTAAAAATAAAAACCCCAAATTTGCAAACTGCGTATATATATATATATCTCAGAGACGATGAAGAAGATCAGAAGACTATTAGGTGTTTCGAAAATTTATAAAAATTGAAGAAAGTTCAAAATTTCATAAATCCTTGATTATTTCAGTTGTAACTCGAAAGTGGTTAAAAATATCAGGATACTTTCGAAAGAGCGTTTTAAAACTTTTTTTTGCAAAAATTAGAAGCATACATGTAAAAAATTAGGCCAATTGGCTCTAAAGCAATTTTTTTACCTCTGATATGTCGTCTGAGAAATAAACTTCGGAAGCAGAGCCAATTGGTCAATTTCCATTAGCAAATCACAGGCCTGAATTTCCCCATTGTGATGGCAGTTGAAATCGATGACGTCGACAATTAGAGGCATCATCATTTTATCAACCAAACCACAGTGAAACATTCCCCATTGCTGAACAATTTCGGCTTCCAATTGACTTATATATTCGTGTCCCCAATCGCCAATATTCTTCGCTGTACCTGTAGCAAGCACATTTTTCCTTATTGGTTGATTATCAATAGAAGAAAACGGTTGATTTACCCATTAAGCAGTATTTGAGACATTCCCGCTGATTTCTTGCTTCTTCTCCTCCACAAGTGCCCATGGCGAGTACCGAGATCACATCAGCTAGTACCCTTTTAGTAAACCCTTTAGGCATGTGTTTATGGGTTTCTTTTAATTGAGCATAGTATGGACTCAGATACTTCAAGGGCTTCGGAACAGAAGTCATCGAAGTTGTAGATGTGCGGATCAGGTATTTTAACATTTTTAAAGCGGGTGGAATTAGATTGGGATCCGTTCCCTGAAATCAGCGAATAAAAGTAAATAAGTGAAAAAAGTGCAAATAATATATTTTTACTGTGCACTTACTGTAATTTTCTCCACCAAAAGCTTCAGCTCCCTTTGCAACTCTTTGTCTTCCTCCATTACCTAAATGTTAAAAAATTTGTCAATTAAAGTTTTTTCACTTTTACTCCACGGTCAGACAGTAGAGAAATTGTTCAGTGATCAAATAATTGTTGAAAATAGTGCGAATTAATGTTAACTCATGAAACAGTGTACCTATTAAGGAAACTTATATTTTTGAAGTTAAAACGCACAGAACGATTAGGTACTAACCATACCACCGAAATTTCGATGATATCGGTTCCAGTCTACATTAAATGTCCTAAAAAGAGATATTTCGAGCATTGTCCGAAATCGCAGTTTGAACTTAACATAGCGGTACATTCCAATCGGCAAACTATTGCTTAAACTTAGCCACATCTTCTAGTTGAACAAGTGTCCCGGGAAATGTGGGCATGCCTTCGGATACATATAGAAGGTGCCAAAATTACATGAAAATTTCCTGCAAAAAATGTCTACAGGCCCTTCTTTACCACGATATAGCCCCTAAAAATCGGTTTTTATTAAATAACTTTTAAAGTACTTTAATATGTCGATGCCAGTTAAGGCAGGGTCCTTAAAACAGTCGTTGAAACCTATATTGCCGTTTGTGTACCCCAGGACTGACCAGCTTGTACGTTATTAATCCTCATATTTTTATTACCCTGTATCATAATAGCACAAAAAGTATTTTTGGGAAGCTTGAAGCATAAACTAAGAAAAAAGTGTTCCACATGCATGCATGTGATGTATCCTAAAGCATGCCCACATTTTGTGGCATGCCCACATTTTTTGGCACACCCTGTATTTTTTTTAAATATAAGAGTAATCTTAGTATATATTGGAGAAGAAACCAGATAGAAGAAGCCGTCCATTTTGTGGGCAATGTACAGTATGAAAAGAACAATGATACAAGTTGAAGAAAAAACTGATATTTTGAAGCATGGAAATGATGGTGGTAAATGAGGGTAGAAAATGAGGGCGGGAAGTAGAGGTGTTAACGTGACACTTCCCAACCTTCAATGGCGTTAGTCATGACAGCAGTACATAGGTATGTAGGTATATGGTTGTAAAAAAATGATATTAATTTGTTTAAATACACATGTGCTAAAAATTATGCCACTTAACGGAGCTTAGCCCGTTTAAAAAGGAGCATCTCTCTTTGAAAATCTGATAAATGTTTTATACGTACATCCTCCTTGCGGCTTAGTGCGTTCGGTACAGCAGAAGCATCCATAATATGTATAGTTTCTCAATCTTATTTGAAACTCTTGCCAATTCGCCCTGATTTGCGTGCTTAAACGGGGCCTACTAAAGGAAAGATGACTTGTGCTCTTGCTAGCTGCTTTATTAGGTTCTAGAAATATGGCATTTCGATTAAAACAGGTTCGAATTACTGTAAGTGTGCTTTACTTACCTAAACAGCAGAAATGAGTCTTTGAAACGACTACTTTCAAACCTGCTAATCACTGTTGATGGGAAATGGCATTTGTCACTGTCACCAGGCAGGATTGTTGAATTTTCTGGTTGGCGGCCGTGATAAAGGTTGGCACCAAAACTCAAATATTTCAACGCATTGTATATATTATATATTATTGCAGCACAAATTCGATAAAGTATAGATATGCTTGGAAATTCATTTTAAACCCTATTTGCGACAATGTGCCCTCATTTTTTTAATGCTGACGTTGCTGTCCGTCAAATTCTTTTTCCGTCCGTCTTTTGTTTAATGGCGAATAGGGCAAATTGTGCGTGGTTCGGGTTGCACAAATATCGAAAAATGCGAGAATGTTTCGATTTCGTGCCGAAAGTTGCCCGTTTTCGTAAAGTAGGAGTTTTCCTTTACTATCTTGAGGTATTTTCGCTACTGCGAGTGTAGTTGTTGCCAAGGAAAACAGTTTTTTCAGTTGAGATGAATCTAACAGTTACCTACTGATGACATGAGCCTACTGCGGCAATCGCTCCAGGTTCCAGAATAAAGTTCCTATATGGAATGTCCTGAATATTTTGAATTTCTTTTGGATTGCGACTTCGGTAAAGGATTATTTGGCTTTAAAGTGCAGGAATAGGAGGCTGAAGTAGGAGCAGATTCTCTCAAATTTTATTTGAATTAGTCAAAGACAGCAAATACACAAGTACCTACTAAAATCGCAAACTGCTAAACTTTCAAAATCGCAGACATTAACGCTAATGATGTTTTATATACTTGAAATATTAAAAATTACAAGACATCATTACATTTTTCCTTAATAAAACACCAAAAACTGCTTAAACCAGGACTATATTACTCTACTATACAAATTTCAGATATTCTAATTAATCAGGGGCGGATCCAGCTTTAAAGTCAGAGGGGTCTTCTGTTGTCTACGAAATTAGAAAAATGATCGTCGTTTTGTGCAAGGGTGGCGCAATATTATTGCAAAATTTCATGTTTTCCGTCCCGTTTTGCATGTTTCTCGGAAGCAAAATGAGCAAGAACGCTCGTTTTTACATCATTCCA